CTTTATTTTGAGTCTATGTATATCTTTGGATATACCGTTGAATTTTGTCTGTATCTTTTGATTGGGAGATTTGGTCGATTTAAATTTAGGGTTGCTGCCATTTGATATTAACTGGCTATTTTGTCCTTTTGTTGATAAAAATTCTTCTTTATGTTAATGCTCTTTACTTTTTGGTGTATTTTTAGAAAAGGTCATACTGGTTGTTCCTTTCTGTGTATAATGCTTCTTTTAGAAGTTCTTGTAAAGCAGGCCTGGTGGTAATAAAATCTCTGAGTACTTGCTTGTTCCTAAAAGATTTTATTTTTCCTTCAAATGTAAAGCTTAAATTGGCAGGATATGAAATTCTGGGCTGAAAGTTCTGTTGATTAAGTATACTGAATATTGGCCCCCACTCTCTTCTAGCCTGTAGGGTTTCCGTTGAGAGATCTGCTGTAAGCCTAATAGGGTTACCTTTATGGGTAACTTGATCTTTCTCTCTGACTGCCCTTAATATTTTCTCCTTCGTTTCGATCTTGGTGAATCTAACGATTATGTGCCTTGGGGTTGGTCTTCTTGAGGAATATCTTTGTGGTGTTCTCTGTATTGCCTGGGGTTGAATAGTGTCCTGCTTTGCTAAATTAGGAAAATTTTCCTGGATAATGACCTGGAGAGTATTTTCCAGCTTGAATTCATTCTCTCCGTCACATTCAGGAACACCAATCAAGCGTATATTAGGTCTTTTCACATAGTCCCATATTGCTTGGAGACTTTGCTCATTCCTTTTTATCCTTTTTTCTCTATTCTTGTCTTGTCGTTTTGTTTCATTAAGTTGGTCTTCGACCCCTGATACCCTTTCTTCTGCTTGATCCATTCGGCTCTTTAAGCTTGTACATATTTCACTAAGTTCTCGTGTTGTATTTTTCAACTCCATAAGTTCATTTGTATTCCTCTCTATATTGTCTATTCTTTTCAACATTTCATCTAACCTTTTTTCCAAGTTCTTAGTTTCTTTACATTGGGTTAGAACAAGTTCCTTTAACTCCCAGGAGTTTCTTATCATCCACCTTTTAAAGCCTACTTCAGATAATGGAACACAGTCCTTTTCCATCAGGGCTTGTTCCGTTGCTGATGAGTCCTTTTCCATCAGGGCTTGTTCCATTGCTGATGAGTCCTTTTCCATCAGGGCTTGTTCCGTTGCTGATGGGTTCTGATTTTGAGTATACTCGGCCTTCTTAGGCTGTTTTTTTCCCTTCATTGTAGATGAACCACCTTTCTAATTAGGTTTCTGAGTCAACGTCTGACTTATTGATTCCCAGTGCTGGGATCTGAGCAACCCACTGTGGCAGCCTAAATAGCAGTGATAAGACTGATGGTGCTCTTCTGCCCGGGAATCTCTGGTCTGGCTTCCCTCTTGACTCCGCAACAAGCGGCTCTGACTTCCCGGAGCTCCAAACTCTGGTCAGTAGGGGAAGCAGTCCTGTTGGCTCTGAGTGAAGAGCTGCTGCGCCGAGACGCCGGCAAAACTGCTGTGGCGGCCACAAGAGTTGCGCTGGCGACCCGTGGGGCTCCTCCACTGGGAATCAGCTAATCGGTGAGTGACAAAAATTCGTCTAAAGATGTGGCGTCGTCTCATTCTCTGAGCTTTCACTGGGAGCTACAATCCTGAGCTGTTAGTGGTCGGCCATCTTGGATCGATCTCCAGAATAAGAATTTTAAATTAGCTTCCCACTCGGGATCCGCCCAAGCGACTGTGGACGCGTTCCGTGCCTGTCCCAGGAGGGCTTGGCCGGGAGGGGGACTGGCTGGATTCGTGGGCGGTGTGAGGGGAAAGAGCTGGAACGTGCGCGGGGGGACATGGCCGAGGCGCTGTGGGAGGGGGCCCAGGATTCTGGGGAGTTAGCGGGGACGCGCCTGAAGCTCTTATCGAGAGGTACAGAGGTCGCGGTGGGGGTCGTAGATGAACCGCTGTGGAGCCGACTACCCGAGGGACGTGGTGGGGGGCGTGGCTGAGGCGCGGCTAAAGTGGGGTGAGAGGAAAGTACTGGGGTGAGGGGTAGAGGAAGAGGAGGCGAGGGTAGGAGGGAGGTGGGGATTAGGGGTAGGGGGTAAGAGGGAGGCTGGGTGGGAGGTAGGTGGGGACATGGGGTAGTGGGGTGATGGGCAGAGGAAATCAAGTTTTAAACTTTTTTAAGGGACACAAAAAGATTAGAATAAATAGAGTTCATGGATGGCATTATAAAAATATCAACTTCCTTCTATATTTATCTATATACTGTACAATATTAATAGAAATTCTAGTAGGATTCTTTTTTTCAAGAACTCAAGGTTTAAAAATTTTACCTGGACTAATATTCATAAAGAGTTATTTTTTGAAAAGGAATAATAAGAAGACACATACTCAATGCTATTTCATAATAAACTATGTAGAACACACATAAGATCAAATGGACTAAAAGAAACAAAATTAATAGTGAAGACAGAGGCATGGATACATGGTGGCATCAAAAATTGAATGGAAAATGATACATTGTTCATTGCATTATGTCTGAAACATTATAGCATTGGCTCACTCTTTCACCAGCCTTATCTCCAATACAGTTGGACCTTTATTTCCCATTATGTACAAAGCTGAACCTAAGGTGGATTAAAGACCCCAAGGTGAATGTGGAACAATATACCAAATAGAATTTATTATGAATATTGGTAACAAATCATAGTAGTGTTTATAGTACCTGTGAGTTTCATTAATAGAAATTATTCATGTTTTCATGCCATATTAAATTGTTGTAGATATCACATGAATACTTTGGAATTACGGTAGTTATTAGATCTACTGACTTGTCTTCTCATTGAATGCTTCAATAAAGTAGTGCGTGTATTGCTGTGTCACAAATAAAAATATTTTGATAACAGTCTTTCAATAAATTGGTTTTCTTCGTAATTCCAGGTATTTTATTTTGTTGTTTAAGGACAATGTTTTGAATAGTTTTGGCTCTATCAGACTGTCAGAGGGGTCCATGGTACTGAAACAAGGTTCAGAAATTCTGAGAAAAAGGAAGTGATTTGTAGGTCAGATGCTAACCAAAGGTCAAGTGAGATGAGGACTGCAAAGGAGACATCAGATTTGGCTGCCATTACAATAATTATCCTAGAGAGTTCCTATTTTAGGGGTGAAGGTCGAGGCAGAAGCTGGATCAGAGTGAGCTGAGAGGTGAATCCAGTTGAGAGCATGCAAATAAGGAAGTCAACTATTTCTTTGGCAGTAAAGGAAAAGAACTGGTAGTCAAAGGGAGTAACAGGATCAAGAAGAAAATGAAGAAAAAAATGAATGTACTTTTAAGTGGAAGGCAGGAATCTAGTGGAAAGGGAGGGGCTGAGAGGAGAGGAGAGAAGATGACGGAGGTCATGAGGTCGTAGACAATACAGGATGGCAGGAAGTGGAGAACTTGGAGGGATTTGTCTCGGACCAGGGTTGATGGGCACGACGGGCTCAAATTTAGATAAATATGGGGAAAAGGAAAAGGATCTGAAGGACTTTCAACTTTTGCTGGCTTTTCCCCCACCCCAACCCCCATCTCCCAATAATGTTGAGGGCAGGAATGATTTATTGACTTTTGCTTAAGAGTATAAAAGTATAAAAACGCTGGTGTGGAGTATGGTAAAGTTGCTGAGTAGGGATAAGGAAAGACTGCAGAGCAGGTCTAAGGGTCAAAAACCACTCTGGTGTAATAAAGCCAACACATTCAAAGTGAGAAAAGAGGTAAACAGCTAAGAGTAACTGTGAGTTGAACTCAGGAGGGCAGTTAAAAGACACTGACCTGGAAGCTTTTGTGTGTGTGTGTGTGTGTGTGTGTGTGTGTGCAAGCTATACAATTCATTTCCTGTGAAGGTGAAAATAAGGTGCTTAATCAATGGCAACATTCTTTTTCTATATCATGTTTTAAAGTTTTCATTTAGGCCAAATGTGTTGGCTCAACGCCTGTAACCCCAGCACTTTGGGAGGCTGAGGCAGGCAGATTACCTGAGGTCGGGAGTTCGAGTCCAGGCTGACCAACATGGAGAAACACCATTGCTACCAAAAATACAAGATTAGTTGGGTGTGGTGGCACATGCCTGTAATCGCAGGTACTCGGGAAGCTAAGGCAGGAGAATCACTTAAATCCAGGAGGCAGAAGTTGGAGTCAGCCAAGATTTCGCCATTGCACTCCAGCCTCAAGGACAAAGCGAGATTGTCTAAAAAAAAAACAAAACAAAAAACCTTTTATTAAAAAAAGAATGTTTATGTTTTATGAACCCCTTTGATCAGTTCTCTGTTCTTTCAGTTCTCAGCTATGTAGAATGTTCAAGAGAGCCTAGAGAAGGTGGCTGAAGCTTGTATACCTCATTTTTTTTTTTTTTACAAGGGAACAGCATAATCACTAACATACAGCATAATCTCCTAATTTTATGCCTTAGTTAGCAGTTAAATAGTTTTTTCCTTACTTGGAAGTGCTCTTATTTGTCTTTGGATTAAAAGTAATAAAACACAAAAATCTCAGGAATAACTAGAGTTTCAATTTTGGAAAACAAATTCGCCACTGACATCAATGAGTTAAAAACAATTTACTTGTTACTATACAGGTGAAAAAACTGAAAAATTGTGATAAAATTTATGTTCCATTCTAATCTATTTGTTTATACAATAGAGAAAACAAAACACATTAATATCTTTTGCTTAATTTATTGATTTTGTTATTTGAGTTTTTGTATTTTAAATGCAAAATAGAAAATATTAAAATTGGCCAGTTGCAGTGACTCACTTTGGGAGGCTGAGGTGGGTGGATCACGAGGTCAGGCATTTGAGACCACCTGGCCAACATAGTGAAACCCCGTCTCTACTAAATATACAAAAAATTAGCCATGCGTGGTGGTGGGTGCCTGTAATCCCAGCTACTTGGGAGGCTGAGGCAGGAGAATTGCTTGGACCTGGGAGGCAGAGGTTTCAGTGAGCCAAGATTGCACCATTGCACTCCAGTCTGGACAACAGTGCAAGACTCCATCTCAAAAAAAATTTAAATTAATTAAAAAAAATAATTGAAATGGAAAAAAGAAAAATGCAGGAAACTGGAGCCAATAATCTGTTTCACATAGGCTTTGTACAAAAGAAAATGAAAACTAAGATCCAGCTGGAGATGCTAAAGAAATGAGACCAATTTTTTAGCAGCTGTAAAAAAACCTTCACTTGAGACGAGAAAGAGTCCCTTCACAATAATCACCTGGGAAAGGTAAGCACCTGTCATAATGATGTTCTCTTTACTCGCATTGTTTCTAAGACACTTTATTTAGAATTTCTTCTGGATCCTGTTCCACTTTTTTTTTTGTAATGTTTTCAGTAAAGGAAAATATATTCCTCTGTGAGGAATGAGCTTGATTTTTAGAAATAGTAAAAGTCCTTCAGAAACAGATCTGCTGAAACAGCAAACAAACTATTCCTGGTCAAAGACAGGAAGCATGACCACAGTGCAATGGGACTAATTTTCTTGTATTGGGGGAAAAAATACCCAAAACTGCCTGCCATGGTTATGTTGGGTATGTATGTAAGACAGATTAGAAAGGCAGGTAGAATTCAAATTTTAGAGTTTTGCATTGCAAAGCAAATGACTTTGAATGTAATTTTAAATGCATTCAAAGATTAATTAAATGTTTTTGGCCAGTGAAATGACTTGTATAATAAAAATAAATAATGTGTGAAAAATCAAATCACATGTCCTTCTGAGATCTAGGACATTATTATTTTCTTATAATTTACTGACATAATAACTCTTCTCAGGAAAAGGAAATGATTTGATATGATGTATTAGTAAACTGCAATTCTGTCCTTTTAGGGTAAAAATAATTTCCTTTGATGGAGAGGACAGAAATAGGAAAGGGTTTCCCCCAGAGGAAAGATTAACTGTTGATCCCAGTGTGATCGTGGGTCATTAAGTCACCAATTAAATTATTCAGTGATTTATACTTTAAAAATTCTTCTAAAATGGTGCACAACACCTTTTAAAGGGGGTTACACATTATATCTTTTTTTTTTTTTTTGAGACGGAGTTTCGCTCTTGTTGCCCAGGCTGGAGTGCAATGGCGCAATCTCGGCTCACCGCAACCTCCGCCTCCTGGGTTCAGGCAATTCTCCTGCCTCAGCCTCTTGAGTAGCTGGGATTACAGGCACGCCACCATGCCCAGCTAATTTTTTGTATCTTTAGTAGAGACGGGGTTTCGCCATGTTGACCAGGATGTTCTCCATATCTTGACCTCGTGATCCACCCGCCTCGGCCTCCCAAAGTGCCGGGATTACAGGCTTGAGCCACCGCGCCCGGCCCACACATTATATCTTATTTGTATCTTGGTGTATCTTCTATAATGCCTAAAATTTAGAAATAATGTTTTATTAGTGATTAGCTGAGTGGTCTTTTACCCTGATTTTTTTTCTCTTTGAGGGCATCAACATTCACTTGTCAAATAAGAAACTTCTGAGTTATTCTAAACATTTTACTTTTCTATGCCATCCACATTAAATATATAATGAGGTCCTGTTTTGCCACAATATCACTGCCTTTATTTTAGGTCAGAATAAATTGCCTATAAACTATAGCAGCTTTCTAATTGACCCTTTAAAATACCATCTCAATACCCTTTGGTATTTATTGGTTAATTCATTTAATCATGCATAAAATTAACAAGTGGCTCCTATACCAGGTACTGTGTTGGGTTCCGGGTATACCATAACAAAGAAAGTAGACGGCATCCCTGCTTCAGGTTTATAATTTAGTGGGAAGATGGGTATAAACTTATATATGTCTATAAAATGTAATCAATACTAGGAAAAGACAGGGATGACGGGGAATGCACTGTAGCCACATTAATCTTTCTAAAGATAAATCTGACTATGCTTAAAATCTTCCATTTATTTCCAGTGGCCTGCAGGATTAAATCTAGACTATTTAAAATTGCTCACAAGTAACCATATGTTTGAACCCTAATATGTAGCACAATATCAAATTCATAGAGGCTCAATGAATATTAGTGGAAGGAATGAATGATAAAACTTGAAAATGCTTTAAAGGCAATTCTGCACTTACTTGCATTAATAAAATTTGTTAGTTTTGAAACAGATTGCCAATGCTTTATGAAAGAGAAAAGAATGTTTCCATCAATGTTTGAGCCCAGATTGCTTTTATAACTATGTTTTTTATTATTGAAAACACTGCTAGAATTTTAATGGAAATATCAGAATGTCCTATTACTATAAAGTGTAAAGCGTTGCTTTTTTTGTGTGGCAGGAGAAGTCTGTAGTAAGGGTAGTGAAAAACAGATTGACATTTGGTCATTATTTCTTATCAAGGGTGTTTTACTTGTAATGCTATTTGACAGCTATATTCTGGGTCTGACAGCATTGAACCAGCTTAATTCCCACTGAACTGCTCTAAATAGGCAGTATTGCAATCAGTTTAACAACCCCTGGAGGCAATAAAATCTCTCCTTTGAACGAATACTCAAGGGGAAGAAATCTAAGATTTATAAAGGGCAGCAAGTATTCAAGAAAGGGGCAAAGTTTATGTGTGAGCCTATAATTGATGTTTCCTTTGTTGGAAAAGAAAGCTTGAGGATGCTTTAAGAATTAATCTTTAACAAGTTCTAATCTGCACTAACAAGTGTGTTCAAGATGAGTGAAAGAGATATGTGATTCTGAGAGTCGAGTTGCTTCCAGCCAACTAAGAAAATTTGGAGGGGTCATGAAAGTATGAGAAAGAAACTTTAAAATTCAAGTGGACGACTTTAGCTGTATCTCTTTGAGGTCTGTGGCAGAGGGTCGCCATTGCTACAGACTGTGCTGATTATGCTTTATGATTGGCTCATGGTTTGTACTTGCCTAATATATGTGGACCTCTATGAAGAAATTTTCAGACAAATATAAAATCATCCTCATTCTAAATGAGCTTGGCTGTTCTTCTGTTAGTGGCAATTTAGTTAAACAGTTTAAGCAGGGTTTAAATTAAGATAGTCCTAGGTTTAAATCTCTGTTCCCACCATGACTAGCTGTTTATCCTTGGGGGATGTTAACGCTATTATTCACAGCTATCTCATCTGTAAAATGGGGTTGATAGTTATTACGGATTGGGGAGTTCAGAAGTATGTAGCTCAGGAGAAGCGCTTAATTCAATGTGGGGCAATGAGTAATAGTTGATTTAAATGAGGTCTTACTATGTGCTAAGCATCTATGCTAAGGGCTTTAAACTGCTTGATCCTCATAGTAACCATACAATGTAGGTACAATAGTATAGCACAAAGAAAGCATCGAGGTTGGGGGATATTAGGAGAAATAGGTCGAAATACATAACCAACCTGTTATTTTTCAAACTCCTGGGCTCAAATGATTCTCCTACCTTAGCCTCCCATAGTGCTGAGATTACAGGCATGAAGCCACCATGCCAGGTACTTGTTACTTATGTCCCTGGGACTTAATTGCTAGGGAAGTAACTTTGTTTTTGTCAGTGGACCCCATGAAGCTTGGTGATAAAACTTTGGAAATCCTCAGCACATCTGGCTGTTCATGTCCCCTAGGGTGGTAGTGGGGCAGGTACCTCCATCAAATCTCCAGTGACAGCTATCGTCATTTCTCCATTTTAATATTTATGTAGTATGTATTTGCATACTCATATACACAGACATTTCTGTGTGTGTGGGCTTATTACTGATTCCTACAGCCCTGGTTCTTGAGCTCACCACCTGCACTCGTGCTGCTGGCTGCAACTTCTGTAACACTAGCAGAACCAGGCAAGAGGATAAACTTCCCCTACTTTCCTTACATATACTGCTCCTTCTGACCAGGACTGTCATCCTTAACCGTCTATCTAATTTATGAAATTCCATTCATCTTTCAGGTCTCAGGTTAAGTATTTTGTCCTCCAGCAAGCCTTCCTTGACTTCCCAAGACTTGAGAAGCCCTTTCTGTGTGCTCTTCTAATAGTGGTGTCTACCCTTTTCCATTGTCATTGTAACAGTCGCTTTGTACTGTTTACCAGTACTTCTCTTTCTTTCTTTCTCTCTCTCACCCTCCCTTCCTTCCTTCCTTCTTTCCTTTTCTTTCTTTCTTCCTTTCTTTCTCTTTCTTCCTTCCTTCTTTCCCTCCCTCCCTCCCTCCCTCCCTCCCTCCCTCCCTCCCTCCCTCCTTCCTTCCTTCCTTCCTTCCTTCCTTCCTTCCTTCCTTCCTTCCTTCCTTCCTTCCTTCCTTCCTTCTTTCTTTCTTTCTTCTTGATAGGGTTTGACTCTGTTACCCAGGCTGAAGTGCAGTGGTATGATCTTGGCTCACTGCAACCTTGGCCTCCTGGGCTCCAACCATTCTCCGACCTCAGCCTCCCAAGTAGCTGGGACTACAGGCACATGACACCATGCCCAGCTAATTTTTGTATTTTTGGCAGAGACCAGGTTTTGCCATGTTTGCCCGGGCTGCTCTTAAACTCCTGAGCTCAAGCAATCCACTGGCCTTCCAAAGCGCTGGGATAACAGGCGTGAGCCACTGCACCTGGCCCAGTATCTGTTTCTTTACTTCTGACCATATGAGAGGATTGCATTTTCACATCTTCTTAAATTTATGTGTGGCCGTGGTTTGATTTGGCTGATAATTTGTGAGCCGAATTGATGTATGTAATTTCTGTGTTCAAGTCCCTCTCTCTCTTCCTCCACATTGGGAATTCTGAAAGCTTGTGTTGATATGGAGGGCAGCTGGCATGGAGAGTTACTGAAACACACAATAGACTGCGTGTGTGAGGTACATAGCTTTTCTGCTTTTTAACCAGTGAGATTTTTGGGATTGTTGGTTACTGCAACATATCTTAACTGATATAGTCACTGCTAGGCCATTGGTTTACTTCCTTATCTGTCTATAGGTCTGACTGAGGAGAGCAATTGTCTTGTTCATCATTCTATCCCCAGAGTCTTGTTACGGGACTGTCTGGCATATGGAAGGCAACTAATAAATCATTCATGCAATGAAATAATGATTCTATATCAAGGAAGGATCTATCTGAAGATTTAATTTCCACAGTAGTAGAACCCTTAGCATGGCTCTGATGTGAGATGAAGTGATAAAGAAATATTATTTGAGGTGAAAAAATAATGATAATGGTTCCATATCTAAACTGTAGAAAATGATTTCTTTAGAAAAAAGAAAATGTTTTATGATTAAAAGATAATTATATATACTCAAGAAATAAAATGCATACTTATCTTTTAT